CTTGGTGCCCTCGCTGGTCCCCGGGAGCGTCAAAAACCGATTCAGGATGAAAAACCGGCCCTGGGGAAAAGGTCGTGACTTCCGGGGACGCCGTCCTGAAAACATCAGGATGTCGCCTGTCTGGGGAAGCTGGAACACCGCCGAGTGCCGACGAGAAAGCCCGAAGCGTTTCTCTCTGCGGCGAGCGAGGGGGGGGGAAGTGAGAAGGAGAAGGCCTTCTCAGAAAGGCGGCGGGACTTCTCAGAGGCCCTCGCGCCTTCTCAGAAGTTTTCGTTTTGTTTTCGGGGAAGGTGTCAAACAACTTTTCAGAAGGCTGGCCGAGAACCGATGAGAACGCCCGAGACGTTCGTTTCTCCCGAAGAAGAAGATTCGGCATAAACATAAACTGTTGGCGCTCCGCGCGAATTTCTTGAATCCACGCTGGGCCCCCCCCCGGCGGCGCCTTCGGCGCGGTCCCTGGCGCGCTCCGCCCGCCGGGGAGGGGGGGGCCAGCTCGGATCCAAGTAATCCGCGCGGAGCGCCAAAAGTTTATGTCTATGCCGTTTTTTGGTCCTCTACCGAAGCGTTTCGCGAGACGTTGGAGGTCCAGGCCTGTCGACCGTATTCGAGGGGACTTAACTGGGTACGGAAACAATGGTCATAAAGCCCAACAGCATTCCTGGCTCAATCTGGACAGGATTCGCTGTCGGCGTCGCCGCGGACGCTGCCCATTTGAGACGCACATTCGCCTGCTCAAAAGCGACCACTGTCGGTTTTGGACAACATTTCAGGGATGGAAGAAGACGGAGTCGTCTTCGCCGACGTTGGCGCGCAAGCTGCCCGAATATGGTAGCGCGTAGTCGCCCTCGTTTCCGGTGTGGCGTGCCGCGCTCTTGGCCCGTGTAAGCCACCGCGTCAGGTCGCTATGCCATCGCGCGTAAGTCCCGTGTTCTTGTCGTCGCTCGCTGATGATTTCGATGATGATGATGATGACGATGATGATGATGATGACGATGATGATGATGATGAGGATGATGATGCTGATGCTGATGCTGTTGCTGATGATGATGATGGTGATGCTGATGATGATGATGATGATGATGATGATGATGATGATGATGATGATGATGATGATGATGATGATGCTGATGACGATGCTGCTGATGCTGATGCTGATGTTGATGGTGATGGTGATGGTGATGCCTCCTCTCATAACGCCAGGCCACGTGCGCACGCAGCCCCAGGCAAAAGCTGTGGCCCGCAGGGTCGCTGTGCAATCGCGCGTGACTCACGGTTCTTTTCGTCCCTCATTTGTTGTTGTTGTTGTTGTTGTTGTTGTTGTTGTTGTTGTTGTTGTTGTTGTTGGGTTTCGTGCCCATGCTTTCCGTACCGCGCGCCCCCGTTTGGAGGCGATCAGGACTTGCGTCTAGCGGGTCGGGCCGCCCCCTCGTCGTCGTCGTCGTCGTTGTCGTCGTCGTCGTCGGGGTCGGCGTCGGCGTCGGCGTTGGCGTCGGCGTCGGCGTCGGCGTCGGCGTCGGCGTCGGCGGCGTCGGCGTCGGCGTCGGCGTCGGCGTCGGCGTCGTGGTCGTCGTGGTCGTCGTGGTGGTCGTCGTCGTTGTGCATCTGAGATTGTCTTCCTTGCGAGCGCCGACGCCGCTTCTCCGCAGCTTCTTGGTCCGAGCCAAGAGGACTGGCCAGCCCCCGTGATGGGCCAGTTCCTCTTGAAGGCGTGCTTGGGGCTTGTTCGCGACCTCACGATGCAGCTTCTTCCAGCCGAGATAGCCCGAGGGGCTGCCGTGGGGCTGCTGAGCTGGTATGCGTCGCCCGCCTCGGTGCCCGAGGAGGTCGTCAGCGCGGCCTGCGAAGGGTGGCGGACTGCTGCAGTCGGCTGTGAGGAGCTGTTCGGCCTCGTGGTGGAGAGCTGCCGCACTTCAGGAGCCGTGGGAGCTCGCGCCCTGCTGCTCGTGGTGCCCATGCTGGTCGTGACCTGCTGCTGTGGGCGCTTGTCAGGCGCTTCAGCTGCCTCGAGCACCGATGGGGCGCTTTGGCTTAAGGCCGCCCGCTGGGTGCCGTGGGGGTGTCCAGCCAGGCGGGCTCGTGTTCGTGAAGTACGCGGAGGAGGCGACGTGGCACACTCGGTTGGTTATTCGAGCGGCGGACGAGGTGACGAAGTATTGGTTCATCCTCACTCCGGACGGCGACTTATACGTCGAGCAGTTGGGAGCAAAGGAAGTGACCCCGTCGCGGTGAGAGCGGCGGGCCCAGGAGGCGCGACGCCACATGGGATTCACCCCGCGCGGGTGTACGGCTTCGACTCGCCGCCCGACTTGTTGCTGGACGAGCTGCTGGCGGAGACGGCGCCGCTGCTTGCTGGGGAGCGCGCCGCACTCGGGCCGCCTGGCGAAACCCTCGCTCTCCCAGCCGAGGGACGGGGCACGCTGACGCCGCTCGAGGAACCGCGGTCTGGGCGCCGCCCGACTCCTCTGGAGACGGTGTGGGTCTACGCCGAATCTTTGTACGGCCGCGAGAAGGGTGGGCGCGCGCCGCTCAACGCCTCTGCAGTGGCCGCGGATGATCGCGGGGCGATCGAGCTCGAGCCAGGGTGCTCGATGGCCATCGCGCGCGTGGAGATCGGCCGCGAGGAGGAGATCAGGAAGGAGAGGAGATGAAGCTGATTGGCTCGGAGACCGACGCGCGGGTGCTGTGGGTACAGTATGCGGCGGGCTCTGGAGGACGACATCGCGCCTGGAAGGATGTGGTGGAGGGCATCTCGGAGGCCCCACTGTCAGACTGGCCGATCGAGGGCTCACGAACGGTGCCTTGGTGTGTAGCCTTCCTTGGACGCGACGCCAATGGCGGCACCCCGCTCGACCGCCGCGGATAGTGAAGGCATGCAGCGAAACTGAACGCCAGCGACTGTGGTGTGCCGGAGCACGAGTCGGCGATGAAAGCGCTGACCCACGCGGGCTGCTACGACCAGGTGGACTTGGCGAATCTAGCCTGCCTGGGGCACCTTTGTCGCCGGGCCCAGCTGATGGAGTGCCACGATCGCGAAAAGCTGAGGGAGGCCGACAGGAACGCCTTCGGCAAGACAGCCTCGGTCCTCGATGAGCAGGATATGTTCATGGGTGAAGCGCGCGGTGGTGGCGTCGTCATGTGCCCCCCCTCCTTGATGGAGCACGTGCGAAGGAGCTGGAGAGAGAGGCAGCAATAGCCAGGCAGGCGCGCAGGGCTCGCGAAGAACGCGAGCTGGCGCGGCCCAAGAGATCATGACTGAGTCACGACCTTCGCTGAGAGCCCGGCAGGCGGCGGTCGGGCATGCTGCTGGGTGCGCGGGAGCTGACCACTCGCGCAGCTGTATCGGTCCCAGAACCTGGTGGCAGGCGCAGGCAGCGGGGACTCTTCCCGCTTGCTGGCGCCGCTGGCGTCGGCTGGCACTTCCCGCCTGCTGGGGCTGGCCATCGGTGTCGCCAGGTCTGCCGCGCGCTGGGGGAGCTCGCGGGCGGTGGAGACCACTCTACCATTTTTGGGCGTGGCGCCGCTCCAGGAGGCGCCGCTCTTGCCGCCAGTGAGTTCGTGGCCGACCAGGTGGTTGCCATGGGCGAGCCGCCGAGGGGTCTTTCCCCTGCCACCGCCTTCCAAGAGGTGGTGCAGTCCGCCGACTGCCACGGTGATCGCGTGGACTTTGCTGCTATCGATCTTGGCCTCCTTTCTTTACCAACTGTCGGCCCCCGCCCCGCCCCGCTGGACGGGCTCTTGGGCGCCAGAGGCCGAGTGAAGACGCGGCAGAGATCAAGGCTTCGCTCAACTCACGGCGGCCCCACGTGGCCCGCGGGCTCGCGAAGGAGCCGCGCCGCCACGCCAAGTTGGCGGGGGCGCCGTTCAATCGCAGGCCCATCAGCTTCAACAGCGACATGACTTGCGAGCGTGGATTGTTTGGTGCGCGGAAGAAAGGCGGGCGAGCAGAGGGTGGTGATCGATGCCCGCCAGTCCAGCGCGCACTTTGCTCCTCGCGGGGCGCCCCTCTCCCCGCGGGCGCAGCGTTCGCCGAGATCGAACCCTCCGAGTGCGAGGGGGCCTGGTTCGCGACCCCGGATCTCATCTCGGTCGCAGCGGTTGGTTGCGCATCGAATGAGACATCAAGCGTTGAGAAAACTTTTCACTCACTAAACGCGCCAATGTTAAGTTGGTCGTTGGGTGGGCCACTGCTGGATTACTGTGTGGCCTCCATATGAGAACCCCTTGTGGCAGCTGGAGTCGGGCTTGTGATCGCCCGAACGGTCCACCTGGTCTCAGAAGCGATGACGCCGCGATGGGATATCGACACAGCCTGACGGCATCCCCGAAGGACAAGGATAACGTTCACAGCTCTGTGGGCGCCCCAAGGTTCGTGAGTGTGTGTGTCCTCGATTTTTGTGCTTACGGCACGCCTTGGCGCAAGCGCACTTGCTTCTGGCATTGGCACGTCGATTTCGCTAGTTGCAGTCGCCTCTGCTCCTCCAAGCGCGGATTTTGCGACTTTAGTGAATGCAAGCATGTGGAGCTGGCCGGAAAGTATCCTCATAGTGTCTTTCGCACCGCCGCTGTTGAGCCCTACCTTCCCAATCTGTGCGCCGCTACCGCTCAATGCCATGCCAATGCTAACGCCTGCTGAATAGTGCCCTCTCTTGCTAAAGTGGCCGCGGGCCAGAATTCCATTCGATAAGGTTTGGCATATATTCTCCTGAATTCGATGATTCCTTTGGAGAGGGCGCTGCGAGCCCTTCGTGAAGCCCTTGGCTGAATGCTGTGCCTCCTGGCGAAAACATGAAAACCCAGAGGGGCTTCCTGGTCTCAGCGGCAGTGATTGTGCATCTGAAATTGTCATCCCTGCGAGCGCCGACGCCTCTTCTCCGCAGCTTCTTGGCCCCCGCCTTCCTTCCCTTTTCTGCACTACGCTGCTGGCTCTCTTTTATTCCTGTTTGTTTTGATCTCTGTCTCTTCCGCCCGGCCTCCTCGGAATTGATAATGTTGGATTCGGTTCTTTCGGAGGGGGCGCTGCGAGCCCTTCGTGAAGCCCTCGGCTGAATGCTGTGCCGCCTGGTGAAAACGCGAAGGTTCAGAGCGGTCTCCTGGTCTCAGCGGCAGGGATCGTCGTCGTCCTCGTCTTCGTCCTCGTCGTCTTCGTCCACGTCGTCGTCCTCGTCGTCTTCGTCGTCGTCGTCGATCTGGTCGTCCTCGTCGTCCTCGACGTCCTCTTCGTCGTCGTCGTCCTCGTCGTCGTCGTCGCCGCCGTCGTGCGTCCAGAAGCATGCCGCGCCCCGCCGCCCCGCGCGCGCTGCTGGCGCTCGCCGCGCTGCGCCTGCTGGCGCCCTGCAGCGCCGGGGGCGGCCTGCGGGCGGCGGGCCGCGTCGCTCTGGGCGACGCGGAGGCCGCGCTGGCCGCGGAGCTGCGCGGCGGCCGCAGCGAGGATGGTGGCAATCATCATCCTCCTGCTCTTCCGCCCCCTTCTCCTCCTCCTCATCGTCGGTGCCGTCATCATCAGCATCATCATCATCATCATCATCATCATCATCATCATCATCGTCATCATCATCATCGCGATCTTCATTCTCATCGTCATCGTCCTCATCAGCATCGTACATGTCATCGCCATCGCCACCATCATCGAACATCATCATCACCACCACCATCATCATCAACATCCCCATCGTCATCGCAATCGTATTCGTCATCGTCGTCGTCGTCGTCGTCATCGTCATCGCCATCGTAAGCGTCATCTTCATCATCGTCATGATCATTGTCGTCGTCACCGCCCATCATCATCATCAGCAGCACCGTCACCATCAGCATCATCAGCAGCATCGTCATCATCATCCTCATCACCATAGTCATCATCATCATCGTCACACTCGTTATCATCGTAAGTATCAGCATGGTAATTGTAAATGTTACCATTAATAGTATCGTCACCATCGCCGTCACCATCGTCATCATCAGAATCACCGCCATCGTCATCATCCGTATCCCCATTCTCATCATCACCTTCCTCGTTGTCGTCATCGTCGTTGGCGTCATCATCGTCATCGTCGTCATTCTCATCGTCATCATCGGCATCGTCGTCGACGTCATCATCATCAGCAGCATCATCATCAGCATCATCAGAATTATCGTCATCAACAAATCCACCATCATCACCATCGCCGTTATCATCACCATCATCATTTTCAGATTCATCTCCATATTCATCATTACCATCATCATCACCATCACCATCATCACCACCACCATCATCGTCTTCATCATGATCATCGACATCGTCATCGTCATCATCAACAGCATCACCATCAGCATCTTCAGCATCATCATCATCATGATCATTATCATTATCGCCATCACCACTATCATAAGCATTGTCATCATCATCGTCCTCGTCATCTCCATCTGCATCAATCTCAACACCATCGTCGTCATCATCCCAGTACCGTTATCATCAACTGATCAGCATTTTTCGGTGAGTTTGCGCTCATGATTTTGCAGCGACGCTTGCGTAGGTAGCTTAATACCTCTTGGAGTTGGTGTCCGTGTCAAGGGCCAGCGGTAAGAGGAACATGAGAAGCACGATCCAGGCAAGATTGGTTCTATGATTGAGTCGGTTGGGCTAGATTCGACTAGTGGACTTGCGATTGAAGCAGACGGCACTTGAGAAGTAGGACGGGTGCCTCGAAACCCTGAGATCCTGGCGTCACAATTTTCTCACAGCGGGCGGTTTTGCCTTGTCTCGGGCCCCCGAGACCCTTACGGGCAGATCGGGCTCGAAAATAGACAGATGGGTCTTGTTCTCCGGTCGTGGTTTTTCGTACTGTTGCAATTTGTTCCCCTTCGCCTTGGCTCAACCAGGACGCACTGTTTCCGTTGTTTTCGGCCTCTCGGTGGCCTTATGAGCGGGACCCAGGACCGTCAGAAAACGATTCGGGATGAAAAACCTGTTTTCGGGAAAGGGTCGGGATTTCTGGAGATTGCATGTTGAAAATCGCCTTGCGAAGAACCCAACCCTTTCTCAAAACAAGGAGTGTGCCGAAATGGTGCGGGACACCATGCTAACGCAGCCACTGGGGCCTTCGGTGGAGCTCCCACTGGGAAACGCTTGAGGGGTGTGCCGACATCGTGCGGGGCACCTTGCGGGCCCTGCCACTTGGGCCTTCGGCGGAGCTACCTATGGGGTCACAAAGCGCGTGAGGGGTTTGTCGAAATGGGGCGGGCCACCATGCTGACGCAGCCACTGAGGCCTTCAGTGGAGCACCCTATGGGGCCACAATGAATGTGAGGAGTGTGCCGAAACAGGGCGTGTCACCGCACGGACGCAGCAAGTGGGGCGACGGAACGTGTGAGGGGTGTGCTGGAATGGGGCGTGTCACCATGCTGACGCAGCCACTGAGGCATCCGGTGGAGCTCTCAATGGGGTCACGAAACGTGCAAAGGGTGTGTCGACATGGTGCAGGGCACCATTGGGGCCCTGCCCATGGGGCCTTCGATGGAGCTCACTATGAGGCCACGAAGCGCGTAAGGGGTGTGTGTCGACATGGGGCGCTTCACCATGTTGACGCAGCCACCGAGGCCTTCGGTGGAGCTCCCTATGGGGCCACGAAATGCGCGCGGAGTGTGCTGGACTGGGGCGTGCCACCATGCGGACGCAGCAACTAGGGCTACGAAACGTGTGAGGGGTGTGCCGGAATGGGGCGGGTCACCATGCGGACGCAGCCCCAGGGCCTTCGGCGGAATTACATATTGGGCGACGAAGTGCGTCAGGAGCTATTGGGTGACCTCAGTTTGCTTACGGGGTCACGAGATGCGTGAGGGGTGTGCTGAAATGGAGCCCGCCACCGTGCTGACGCAGCCACTTGGACTTTCGGCGGAGCTCCCTATGGGGCCACGAAGCGCGTGAGAGTTGTGCCAAAATGGGGCGGGCCACCATGCGGACGCAGCCACTGGGGCCACGAAATGGGTGAGAGGTGTGCCGAAATGGGGCGAGTCACCATGCCGAGTCAGCTCCTGGTGCCTTCGGCGGAACTCCGTATGGGGCCACGAATTGCGTCAGGGGTGTGCCGAAATGGGGCGGGTCACTATGCGGAGTTAGCTACTGGGGGACTTCGGTGGAGCTCCTTGTTGGTCACGAAGTGCGTGAGCGGTGTGCCGAACTGCTGCGGCGGTCACCATGCGGACGCAACTATTGGGGCCTGCGGTGGAGCTCGGAGCTCCATATGGGGCCACGAAACATGCGAGTGGAAGTACCGAAATGGGCCGGGTCACCATGCGGACGCAGCCACTGGGGCCTTCGGTGGAGCTCCCTATGGGGCTATATAACGAGTGAGGGGTGTGCCGACATGGGGCGGGTCACCATGCGGACGCAGCCACTGGGGCCTTCGGTGGAGCTCCCTATGGGGCTATGGAACGAGTGAGGGGTGTGCCGACATGGGACGGGTCACCATACGGACGCGGCCACTGGAGCCTTGGTGATGCTCCCCATGGGGCCAAGGAAGGTTTGAGGAGTTTGTCGAAACGGTGGTGATGATGCTGATGCTGATGATGGTGATGATGATGCTGATGCTGATGATGATGAAGAAGAAGATGATGATGATGAAGAAGCAGAAGATGATGATGATGATGATGATGATGATGATGATGATGATGATGATGATGATGATGATGATGATGATGATGATGATGATGATGATGATGCTGCTGCTGATGATGATGATGCTCATGAAGATGATGATGCTGATGATGATGATGATGATGATGCTGATGATGATGATGATGATGATGATAGTGGTAGCGTCACTTGAAATGATGGTGATGGTGATGAGGGTAGTGGCAACGTTGATGATGACGATCATTGCAATAACGTTGATGCTGATGGCAGGGATAACTGAGGGAGGAGGTGCAGGGAGGAGGGAGGAGGGGACACGCGGCGCTGCAGTTTCAAAGCGAGGACTCAGCTCACAGGAGGTTTTGAGAGAAAGAGTAGCGGGAGTGAGGGGAGGTCAGGTGATGCGTGGCGCTGCGGATTCAAAACGACGACACAACTCACAGGAGGGTAGGAAAGAGTTGGGGCACGGCACACCTGGGGGCGACGATGGCGACGACGTCGTCGCCGTTGCTTCGGGTTTGTGCTGGGGCGTTCCTGGGGGGTTGGTGGACGCAGCTCGGCAAAGAGGTCAGCGCGGCGGCCGCGGCGAGGACGACGGCCGAGGGAGACGGTCCCAGATCTCCGCCGACCTGACATGTTCGATGTGGGCGTTTTGCTGTTCCTTGGACATCTCGATCCCAGATCTCCGACGATCTGATGTGTTCAATCGGGGCGTCCTTCCTGGAGCTCGGCCTCTGCCGGGACAGTGACACACGGCTCCGTGGCGAGAAACTGGCCATGGGTGATGGTGTCCCAACCTGCTTGCTCCTTGACCACCAGAAAAAATCTCGAGCATCAAGAAACGTGTCGGGCCCTGGGAGGCGACACTCATCCGACACTGTTTCGATACTGTTCTGGGTGCTGGAAATTATTTCTGGAATGTGGTCCTTGAGTACGATGGGAGCAGCATAGGCCATGGGAAGGGGTCGGGACCTCTGGGGTCGCAGATTGAAACAATCATGTTGACTGATGTCAGGAGACGACGACGTCGTCGCCGTCGCTTCGGTGGGTCCTGAGGCGTTTTCATCGCCATGGGTGGACGCAGCTCGGGGAACTGGTCAGGAAGGACCCCTTCAGAGCAGTCTCCTTCGAAAGCGCACGTGCTGTACTGAGGCGGATGACGGGCAGCCATCCTGAACGCTTCGTGGATGAGGTGTGTGTGTGTGTGTGTTCCTGCGTGCGTGCGTGCGTGCGTGCGTGCGTGCGTGCGTGCGTGCGTGCGTGTGTGTGTGTGTGGGAGAGAGAGTGTGTGTGTGTGTGTGTGTGTGTGCGTGCGTGCGTGCGTGCGTGCGTGCGTGCGTGCGTGCGTGCGTGCGTGCGTGCGTGCGTGCGTGCGTGCGTGCGTGCGTTCGTGCGTGTGTGTGTGTGTGTCTGTGTGTGTGTGTGCGTGTGTGTGTGTGTCTGTCTCTCTGTCTGTCTGTCTGTCTGCCTGCCTGCCTGCCTGTCTGTCTGTCTGTATGTCTGTCTGCGTGCGTGCGTGCGTGCGTGCGTGCGTGCGTGCGTGCGTGCGTGCGTGCGTGCGTGTGTGTGTGTGTGTCTGTGTGTGTGTGTGTGTGTGTTCGCGCGTGTGTCTGTGTGTGCGTGCGTGCGTGCGTGTGTGTTGTGTGTGTGTGTCTGTGTGTGTGTGCGTGCGTGCGTGTGTGTCTGTGTCTGTGTCTGTGTCTGTGTCTGTGTCTGTGTGTGTGTGTGTGTCTGTGTCTGTGTCTGTGTCTGTGTCTGTGTCTGTGTCTGTGTCTGTGTCTGTGTCTGTGTCTGTGTCTGTGTCTGTGTGTGTGCGTGTTCGTGTGCGTATGCGTGTGCGTGTGCGTATGCGTATGCGTGTGGGTGCGTGCTTGTGCAAGCGTAGAGCGAATACACAGTGACCATCGAAACGGCCAGGGGACGGATTTTGGCCATGGTTTGGCTGTGCGGCGACAGCAGCGGCCGCGCCGAGGAGAGACTGAGGGGGCTCGAGGACGCGCTCCGCGGCACGTTCACCGCGCTCCCCAAGGACCCAGAGAAGAAAAGGCTCTGATCTCCAACGTCCCAAGCAGCTCAGCGCAGATGTTTTTAGCAGCTTTTAAGCTTCCAATGCACTCGGAGATCTGGGGAGGAAAGGTACTAGTGCCGATACTCTTCCCTCGTTTCCGCCTTTTTGAGCCTCCTGTGAGGCCCTATCACCACGGCTGGATTCGCTTCGAAATTCTGGTCAGAACAAATCCTGGGAGAGGTCTGCGGTATCGGTATTTCTGGTTTCCTCCAGCGTCTCGAGAGACTCAAGGAAACAGTTTTCGCTGTTTTCGACACTCGGTGTCCTCGCGGGGCCCCGGGACCGTCAGAAAACTGGTCATAAGGAATAGCCAGCCCTGGGGAAATGGTCCAGACCTCCGGAGACCTCGCACTGTCATGGCGCCGAGATCGCAGAGCGGATCTCGTTCGGAAAGCGATAGGAGGGGCCCGGAGTGTCCTGGAGAATTTCGTTCCGGATTTCGAGGTGAACTTCGTGCGGGTGTTTTTTGGCCCGGAACGAAGACCCAAAAAGAATCCACGCGAAATTCATTTCGTTATTCGCTCGCCCCGTCGGGGTTCTGCATTGACACAAAGCCACGCGCAAATCCGCTGCAGCACGTCTGCAAGGTCGGTGCAATGAGCATTGCGCATTCAAGACCTCGGATGTTTCTGTGGATTTCTGTCGATGCAGAACCAAGGGGCGAGCGAAAAACGAGGTGATTTTCGCGTGGACTTTGGCTAGGTCTTCATTCCTGGCCCCCCAGACAAATCCGCACCAACTTCGCCTCGAAACCCAGCACGAGAAATCCTCCCGGACACTCCGGGCCCATCCTCCCTCGTTTTCCGAACGAGATCCGCTCCGCGACGCTGGGCTCGGCACGGACATCGACTCTCGAAGGCCCGCGCGGCGCTCGCACTGGACGCCCCTGGCGGCGCCGCCCCTGGCGCCACCCCTGGCGCCGCCAGGGAGGAGGGGTAGGGGGCCACATGCGAACCCTACCCCTACCCCCCACGATATCTAAGGGAGGGGGGGGGGTCACTTCGTTCGGGAGCTCCCGAGTGAAATGAACCCCACCCTCCCCCGCAGAAATCGCGGGGGGTAGGGGTAGGGTTCGCATTTGGCCCCCTAGAGGGGGCCCACCGCCGATCCAAGGGAGCCGCGCGGGCCCCCGAAAGTCTATCGTTGCAGTCGGGCGTGCCCCTTCTACAGGAGGGAGGCGAAGAGATAGTCAAGGAATGGTCTGGGGACGATTTGTTCCCCATCTTGAGTTGTGCTGGGGGTGTCTTTGGGCCATGTTTGTTTTCAAGACAGTGAAGAAATGGTCTGGGGACGATTTTTCCCATCTTGAACTGTGCTGGGGGTGTTCTTGGGGCTGTTTCTGTTTTTCCTCCAGGGTCCGCCTGCAGGGCAGTCGGGCGTGTCCTGGGGGCGCGCCCCGTGGCACCAGCAGCCCTGGGACGCCCAGGTGCCGCTCGTTCGCGCAGAAGGGCGCGGGCCGTGCAGCGGGACGCCGAGGCCACGCTCGTCGCGGGGGGGGGGGGGGGGGGGGCGGAGGGTTCCAAAGAGGGTTTTTGGGGGAGGGGGTTTTCCCAAGCTAGGTGCGCTCGCGTCATATCTGACATCCTATCCCTCCCTCCCATCCCTTACCATGGCGTAGATCTCCTCTCTACTCGCACACTCGGATGTCGAGCAGGGCAATGATCCCGAAAAGGGTACGCGATGCATTGTAGAGCACGGCATGGCATGGTGTAGAAGAGCACCGCGAAGCGTAGTATGTCACAGCATGGCGTGGCGTGGCGTAGTGCCCCCCAGGAGCCTCGGAACCTCGTCAATACAGGGGGTGCGAAGCCCCTGGGGGACGCCCCCGAAAGTCTAGAGGAGGGGGACTCAAAGGTAGTCAAGACATGGTCTGGGGACGACGTTTCCCATTTGGAATTGTTTTGGGGGTGTCTTTGGACCATTTCTGTTTTTCTTCCAAACTCCGCCTGTAGGGGGGCATGCCCGACCTAAGTCTATCATGTTCGTGTGCCGCTTCCTCTCCCTGTGGGGAGGCTTGGTTCACCTGGCTGTGGCACTTGCGCGCCGCTGCGTTGTCCTCAACTGTCGATGGTCCGCTGTCATGGTAAAAACCCAGACTACGACGTCCTGATTTTTTCCATGCGGCGTCCCCGGAAGTACAGGTCCTTTCCCTGGGCCCGGCTTTTCATCCCAATTCGTTTTTTGACGGTCCTGGGGCCCAGCGAGGGCCCCCATAGGGGCCGAAGATAGCGAAAAATTTGCCGTCCTGATTTCTGTTACGACGCGATCATGTCTGGGTCGTACATTTGGGGGCGTTCAGAACAATCGGCGCGGCGAGAAGGGGGAGGAGGGGGAGGAGGATGAGAAGGAGGAGGAGGAGGAAGGAGGACAAGGAGGAGGAGGAGGAGGAGGAGGAGGAGGAGGAGGAGGAGGAGGGAGGCATGGCGACAAGCGAATATGTGTGGGAAACTGCCCCCTCCTCTTGTGAGGACGCAGATGGCCGCCTCTCGGGCACCGGGCCCCCTTCCCCGGGGCCAGCTTCTCGTCCTATGAGTCTTTCTTTGGGGACGCTCCCGAGGCCCGGTATAGGGCCCCCAGTCGGTGGCCACAGGGGAAACCCGACATGCTCGCGTCGTAAAAGAATCAGGACAGCGTTTTTTCCCACTATTTTCGGCCGCGGGGGGCCCTCGCCGGGCCCCGGGAGTTTCAAAAAACAACTCAGGATGAAACACCGGCCTGGGGGAAAGGGTCTGGACTTCCAGGGACGCCGTCTTGAAAAAGTCAGGACGTCGCATGTCTGGGAACCCTACCCCCGCCCCCCACGATTTCTAAGGGGGGGTGCATGGAGGCAGGGTTCACCTGTGGCCACCGAATTAATTACCCAGGGGCCGAACATAGCGAAACACTTCCCGTCGTGAGTTTGTTCGCAGAGCGAGGGGGGTTGGGTGCCCAACATGATGCGACGTCCTGATTTTTTCAGGACGGCGTCCCCGGAAGTCCCGACCCTTTCCCTGGGACAAGTTTTCATCCCGAATCGTTTTTTGGCGCGCCCGAGGCCCAGCGAAGGCTCCACGGGGCCGAAAAAACGGACGAAAACCCGCCGTCCTGATAATTTTTTACGACGCGAGCATGTCTGGGCTCTCCCTTTTTTGTGAGGACGCAGATGGCCGCCTCGGGCACCTGGGGGTCCGCTACGTCCTGCACCGCCTCTTCGTGCAGCGCCGCGGCTGGTACGTCAAGGGCCTCGAGCCTGGGGCCGAGGCGCCGCAGGATCCCGGCCGTCGCCCGAGGCGTCCCTGCGTCGAGCAGTGGCGGAGCGTCCTGGCTTGCCTATAGGCTTGGCATCGTTCGGACGTGTGCCTTTTTTCCTTCGGCGAGGACCATCGAGGAGCATCCTTGATCATTTGGCGAAAAAACATGCACGACACCGAAAAAACACAGGGAATGGACGTCCGAGCGATGGCGAGTAGGCCCACCAGAGGAGGTTCTGAGAACCTATCTGTGGTTCGCACGATAAGTTTTTAGAACAGCTCTGGCTGGGACTGTCTTGTTTTACCACATCGGCGTTCTGTTCTCAGAACGGCGTTCCTGTTCTCAGAACATGAACGTTTTCGGGTTCTAAGAACAGGTCGTGGTAGGCCTATGGGAATGCGGACGGTCGGTCCCTGCTCAACCCTGGCCCATCCCAGACAAGTTAGGACGGCCAGTTTTTTGCTATGTTCGGCCCCCTGGGGGCCCTCGCCGGGCCCCGGGAGCGTCGAACAACGAGTCAAGACGAAAAAGCGGCCCCCGGGAAAGGGTCGGGACTTCCGTGGACGCCTGGGAAAAATGAGGACGTCGCATGTCTGGGGCCTCGCCCGCGGCGTCCCTGGCCCATGGTGCCCCGTGGCTCCCTGAGGAGGCCCAGATGGCCTTCGGAGAGCAGCCCTCTCGAGACCCAGAGGCCTCGAAGAAGCAAAGACGCCATAGACATGAGCTTTGGGCGCTCTGCGCGGGCTTCCTGGATCCGCGCTGGACCCCCCTGGCGGAGCAACCCTCTCGAGGCCCAGAGGCCTCGAAGACAAGCAAAGACGCCATAGACATAAGCATTTGGGCGCTCTGCACGGGCTTCTTGGATCCGCGCTGGGGCCCCCGGGGTGGCGCCTCCCCGGCGCCCCTCCCTGGCGCGGTCCGGGCGACGGGGAGGGGAATCCAGCGCAGATCGAGGAAATCCGCGCGGGGCGCCAAAAGTTCATATTTGCGCAGTTCTCTCTTCTTCTGAGGCCGTTGCGCGGTATTCGGCGCCGTTCCGAAGCTCGGGGCCGGTTTTGGCGGTCGCCGCGGCGATCGCGGTGGCCACAGATCGGGGCAAGGTTTTTGGCAAGGAGTGGCATGCCCCTTCCCAGGCCCCCCCCCCGCTCTGCGATGTAGACGTCTCATCATTCACCATCTAGCGACCCAGACCCCCTCGCGCGGTGCAAAAATCACGACGGGCGGTTTTTCACTATTTCCGGCCTCTGGGGGCCCCTGGCGGGCCCCGGGAGCGTCAAAAAACGATTCAAGATTCAAAACCGGTCTTGGGGAAGGGGTCAAGAGCTCTGGGGGTCGACGTTGAGGAAAAGTCACAACGTCGGGGGTGTGGGGACAGAGAGATGTAAATTTATGTCCGGCATGGGCAATCATTTTGTTCGATCAGGGGCGATGATCCCGCAACCAAGAGAGCCCCGGAGGCGCCAGCAAGGTTCGGAAAATGGGGGACACCTTGGGCCGAGGCCTCTTCCAGCAGCACCCGACAGGAGGAATGGGTGCCGTCCTTCCTGCAGAGCAGGCTCGAGCAGGAGCTCGCCGGCCGTGGCGCGACGCTGCGGGACTTGGCCGTGCTCTCCGCGGCGATCGAGGACCTCATCAGGCAGGAAGCAGCAGGTCTCGAAGCGAAAAAGCGCCCTCATGAGATGCACCCCGACAGCCCAGATGCGCCACGTCATGGAACAATCAGGACGGAAATGGTTCGCCGTTTTCGGCCTCTGAGACCTTTTACCAGGCCCCAGGACCGTCAAAAACACGACTCTGAATGAAAAGCTGGCCTTGCAAAATGGTCGAGACTTCCAGGGACCGCGTATGTAATAAAACAGGACATCGCATGTCTGGGTCTCGACACACACACAACTTAAACATACATGTTTTGAGCTCCGCGCGAACTTCTTGGATCGGCGCTGGACTCCAGCGGCGGCGGAAAAATACGCGCAGAGCTATCACAATGTATGATTTGCCGTCTTTTGAACCTCCAAGGTCGCCTGGAGGCCGTGTACGGCATGCACGGCCTTTCCGCCAGGGCGAGGCTGGACAAGACGCAGGCCGAGCAGGTCCCCAGATCTCTGGCGATCAGATTGTGTCGATCCTTGGTTTTCCTTTTTTCATCGATTCCGACGTCTTGAGCCTGTTTTCGGGCCCCGGGGCCACCGCGTACTCATCCAGGACGAAAAACTACCCTCGGGGAAGCGGTTGAGACTTCTGGGGCCGCGAATCGGAAAAGGCATGTCGGCGGATCGTAAGGTCATAACAACGTTCTACGTCGCCTTCCTGACGGAGGGTGATTTCAACGTCACCGGCTCAGAGGAGGTGGAGCGCGCCAAGCAGCTGTTCGCGCAGGAGTACACGGGCTGGACCGAATCGGTGGAGTGGCTCAAGGGCATCGTGGCCACCGCCATGGAGTCGGAGCTGGCGCCGGGCGACGAGGAGTACAGCTACGAGGTTGGTAAGGCGTCGGGCTGCGCATAGACAGCCCCCCCCGGCAGTCCTGGCTGGCCTCAACAGGCTCCCCGAGTAGCCCAGGGCGGTCTCAACATCTTGGCGCCGTGTCAGGCGCCCCAGGGTAGGGGTGCCGAGACCGCCCAGACTACTCGGGAGGGCTCTTGACGCCAGCCGGGACTACCTGAGAGGGCTGTCTGCGCGCAGCCCGAAGCCTCACCATACGAGGTCATCGAGCGCGTCGCCCTGGACATCGGGGATAATTATTACAAGTTCAACGACCTGGAGTGCCAGGCGCTCAAGGCGGAGATGAAAGGTCTGGAGTCCAGGAAGGCTGGGCGTGTGAGGCTGCCGGAGTTCTACAAGAAGGCCCTGTACAGCCACTGGCGCTTCGACGAGAAGCTCGAATACCTCCGCACCCTCGGCGCCGCGGATGAGACGGAGCAGGGCAACCCCCTGGTCATCCTGCCGAACTACCTCACGGCGCGTACCAACTGCCTCGAGGCGACGGGCATCTATGCGGTGTGCTGCCGGAACGAGTGCGAGGACCTGATGGGGCGCCTGGAGGCGGAGGTGGCTGCCCCGGAGGCCACCCCCGCCGAGCTCATCCCGATGAGGCAAGAACGGCAGAGGCACAAACTCTCGGAGCTCCGCGCGGGCTCCTCGGATCGGCGCTGGGCCCCCTCCCTGCGGCGGCGCCGGAGGCGCCTCCCTGGGGGGGGGTCCAGCGCCGATCTAGGAAGTCCGCGCGGACCTCTTGAGTTCCATGGTTACGCTGGGAGCGAGGCTTCAGACCCTGGGGGATTCCTTATTATCGAAGACGCCTACGGCGAATCACCGCCGCCCCCTGCCTTTTGGAATCGCCCCATGTGGCCGAGCGTTGTGGCAAGAGCTCTTCCAAGCTATCAGACCATGTGTTCCCCAAACCGTTGTACACCCTTCGGGGAGCACTTGGGGGGAGAATGGCGGGGAAGATCAGGAGGAGGAGGAGGAGGAGGAGGAGGAGGAGGAGGACGACGACTAGGAGGAGGCGGACTAGGAGAGGAGGAGGAGGAGGAGGAGGAGGAGGAGGAGGAGGAGGCGGACTAGGAGGAGGAGAAGGAGGAGGAGGAGGAGGAGGAGGAGAAAGAGGACGAGGAGGAGGAGGAGGAGGAGGAGCAGGAAGATGAGGAGGAGGAGGAGGAGGAGGAGGAGGAGGAGCAGGAGGAGGGGGCATCTTGGGAGCCTCTGGGGGCACTCTTGGGGCCTCCTGGGAGCTTTCTGGGAGCATCTTGGAGGCATCTTGGGGGCCTCATTGGGCCTCTGGGGGGGCCGTTTTGGAGCATCTCTGGGGCCTCTTTGGCAGTCTTAGAGCGTTCCTGGCCCGTCTGACGCCGTCTGAAGCTGTCTTGGGGGCCTCTCTGGGCCGACTTGGGGCCTTCTTGGGGTGCTCCAGGGCCGTCTTGGAGGCCATCGTGAGCATCTTGGAGGCCTCTTGGGCCGTCTTCGGACTCTTGAGGCCGTCTTGGGGGCCTCTTGGGCCGTTCTTGGGCGATGTCGGGGCGATCTTTGGGAGCTCTTGGGCCATCTCGGGCCGTCGGACGGCCGAAAAGAAGCACATACCAAGATCCTTCAAACATCGAAAAAATGTCAATGATGTTGGCCGCTTCGGGCCTTCCTGGAAGTCCTCTTGGAGGCCTCTGGGGCCGTCTTGTCGGCCTGTTCGGGGCCTCTTGAGCCGTCTTGGGCTATCTTGGAGCCTTCTTGGGCCGTCTTGTCAGGCTCCTGACCCGTCTGACCCCGTCTGGAGCCGTCTTTGGGGTATCTCTGGGCCGACTTGGGCCCCTCCCTCTTGTGGTGTTCCAGGGCCGTCTTGGAGGCCATCTGGGACATCTTGGAGGCCTCTTGGGCCGTGTTCGGGCCCTCTCGAGGCCGCGTCTTGCGTCGTTCTGGGGCCATCCTGGATGCCTCTTGGGATATCTTGGGGGCGATCTTTGGGGCTCTTGGGCCGTCTCGGGCCGTCGGAAGGCCGACACGAAGCAAATGCCAAGATCCTTCAAACATCGAAGGAATGTCAATGATGTTGGCCTCTTCGGGTTTTCCTGGAGGCCCTCTTGGAGGCCTCTTGGGCCGTCTTGGAAGCCTCTGCGGGGCCTCTTGGGCCGTCTTGGGCCATCTTGGAGCCTTCTTGGGCCGTCTTGTCGGAAGCTGTCCTGGGGGCCTCTCTGGGCCGACTTGGGTCCTCTTGTGCTCCAGAGCCGTCTTGGAGGCTATCGTGAGCATCTTGGAGGCCTCTTGGGCCGTCTTGGGGCTCCTTGGGGCCGTCTTGGGGGCCCACTGGGTCGTTCTGGGGCCATTTTGGAGGCCTCTTGGGCGATCTTGGGGCGATCTTTGGGGGCTCTTGGGCCATCTCGGGCCGTCGGACGGCCGAACAAGAAGCACATACCAAGATCCTTCAAACATCGAAGGAACGTTAATGACTTTAAACGGAGAGGGTTAAAGGCGAGATGTAAATCGAGCATGCACCGCTGCCGTGCCTGGCTCAAGCCGGGCCCGGCCGAACATGTGATTGTGCCTCACCGAGGCGCACTACTCGCATCTGAGATCGGAAAAGACCTTTCTATTGAAGATGCCCCTTCTATCCTTTACTCCAGATCCCATGCTTCATCTTGCTCTCTTGCTCATGCGGTATGAGCCAAAGCCTGGGATATGGGAGCGCCTAAGGCGGAACATATATCTTGGCTTACCAGTGCGTTTTCGACTTGGTAGCGGAGCTGGCTACACTCTCGTGTGGCTGGCTCTCGCTCTAATACCCATCATCCACGGCACAACTTGGTGGACTACTACTACGGTGGAATACCATGTTGCGCCGGCTCTGCGAGGAGCGGAGCCAGTCCGCGATCGGGCTAGCGGGGCTACCCGCGAGCTCGAGACGCTCTCTCCTACCTCACTGCGCTACTTCACTCCCGACTTCCACCAGATGCCAATCGGCAACTCGATCGAGAACGTGGTCACTCTGCGGGGCTACCCGCAGCGGGGCCACCTGCATCCCGTGCCGGTCAGGCGCCTTACGGCTACTACGCCCGAGCCTGACAAACCACAGCCTAAACCAATCACCGAAGCCGAGATGCACATGCACTGGATCAAGATAACTATCTTCGGCATTCTATGGGTGATAATGGGATGTGCTGTGGGCTACATGCGGCAGGGGATGGACGACACGCGTACTACCGGCCCTTCTTGGGACCCAGCCGGTACCACGCCCTTTCGCGACTACGTTCGCGAAGTACATGCATGGATAAACGTGACGAGCGGCAATATGACGCCACCTCAGCAAGCTGCAGCACTACAACGTGGTCTTCAAGGCCTTGCTCGTCGTATCGCCATGCAGGTCCCCTCCCAGATCATCAATTATGGTGTAAATGTCAACGGACAGCCAACGGATGCAGTTACTTATATACTTTATCTATTGAGTACCAAATTTGAAAATCTGGAAGATGAGCGCCAGCTCAACTCTGGCACTGCCCTTATCGACTTTCGCGTCGAAAGGGGCGAGCGAATCGACTCAGTGTTAGCTCGATTCGAGATGGCCCGTGACGAGGCTAACTCTGTTGGATTTGTCATCCCCAACTTTCAGATCCTAACGCTGATCCTTTTCAGAGCGTTAGGCGTTGGCGCGTCACGAGCCCAACACCTGCTGGAGCCCTTCAATCATCAGATGCCCAGAACGCAAGCAGACTATGATAGGCTGCTGACCAGGATGAGGAACTACGGGCATGTTGCCGAGCGCTCTCCTGGCAACATTGCGGGCATCTTCACAGGGCACCACGCACATGCAGGTGTCTACGCCACGACTGCGGGGTCACCCGCTGGTCCTGGCGAGCCAAGTCCCTGGGCTGATTCAGCCGATATGCCCAACGAGGCCACTGCCCTCTTAGGGCAGACCGGCCAGGCATCGGCAGAGGCAGCGGAGGCGAACGCCTGGTCGAACTACACGCCGGGCGCCGCCTACACTGCAAGCCCGCCCTCGGGCACAACCCTCTGGGGCCAAGCGGAGTCATCCGCTCAAGGGTCTCAGCCACCCTCTCCGTTTGAATCTGGCACTGACACAGATACCTCATCTGACGGTGATCACAATGGTATGGTCTCTGCTGGCAATGACTATCCAGCTGATGACACTCACCTTTCTGAACAACAAAGAGCGGAAGCCGCTTTTATGGCTTATCGCAAATCAAAACGCCGTTGGAGGCGCATTATGAAGAAACCGGTCAGAAAAGTGAGACGTGCAGTACGCCGATATTTCAAACGCTATGGAAAGGGTCGTGGCAAAGGGGGTCGCAGACGCCATATGCATGGTAGGGGTGCCACTGCTTTCCTCACGTCCTTAACTGATGTAGTTTTTGAAGAAGTTCTTATCGGAGGCAAAGGTCGGGGTCACAGGCGGACCTCTGGTAAGGGAAAAGGGCGGAGGGGTAACCCTAGGGACGCTTCTGGCAACACTATGAAGTGTCATGCATGCGGTAGTACAGAGCATTTGCGCGATCATTGCCCGAAGGGGAAAGGAAAGGGATCCGTACATTTGGCTCAAAACTCTTTTATGGATGACATAGACTACATTGACTACGAGTTTTACGTCAATCCAGAAGCGGCTCCCGCCGCGGGCTCCTCCACGTACTACGTGATGGCCCGCTACGCTGATGCGACCGTAGCCCTGGAAGAGTACGCGGTGACCCTCTTCGACGAGTTCCACGGCTGGGACGAAGTCGACGAGGGCGCGTTCAACGCCTGGTTCGGTCTTCCAGCGGGGCCACCCGCCGACGACGAGATCTCCGAAGCTGAGACCGTCCCGGCGACCGAGGAGGAGCTCGCCGCCGCGCTGGCACCGCAGGTGATCGGCATGCCGTGCTGCCTGATCTTTCGCGAGCCGGCTCGGAAGCGGGAGACGCTGACGACGAAATGCGGGGCCATCCCGCAGCTTATTCTGACTCTGAAGAGGCCGAAGAGGACTATGAGGACAGGCTCCAAGAGCAGGTCGCAGAAGCGATCCAGCTCCTGAGTGCGCCAGCACATCAGCAGATGACCATGAACGACCTGCTGTCGCGCCCAGGGGCCGCAAGGCTGCGTCCATACCTGGATCCTGATATGTCGGCACCGCAGATGCTGACCGCACTCCAGGCCCTAGCGGGGCCACCCGCTGAAGCGGCGCCAGCTGCAGCAGCGGGGCTACCCGCTTGGTCTATGGACGAGTTCATGCAGGGCTGCGACCAGATGGACCTCAACGACCTCACTATGGAGCAGCTGACCGACATCGGGTACTTCCAAAGCCCGCATCAGCACGTATTCATGGTCCAGGACAGCTCAGAGGACTCGGAGGACAGGCGCAATGCAAAGAAGAACAGACGACCATCGCCACCTCGAGATCCAGAGCACCGTCATGAAGATGAAAGGCCCATGGAACGTGGCAGTGCGTCAGCGGGGCCAACCCGCAGGAGGAGCCGTTCAGCTCCACGACGCCCTACACATGATGCATCTGGCTACCCGTGCAGCACGGAGCACTCCAGAGGTGTATCCGCTCAGTACGTGCCGGAGTGGTACATCAATTGGTACCCCGGCTACCCGATGGACGTGATCCGCC